TCGGGTCGGTGCTCTTCCTGCAGTATGTTTGACATCCCATGGAATCCAGTCACTAACGCCTCTTGCTCGTCTGTTATCATTCATACGCATTACGTGTCCGGCCCACCTTTCCTTCGACTACTTGGTGTACAAAACGGTATCTTTGACTTTTAATCGTTGACGCAGGTCGGAGCATCGGATCTCTTCCTTTACTTGTGGGAAACGAGATACTCCTAGCAACGTCCTTTCGACCGCTCGTTCGATAACGCTGAGTGACCTTTCATCCTGCTTACGCAGTGACCAGGTTTCTGACGCATATGTTAGGGCAGAAAGTACCATTGAGTCAAAAAGGTGGGCACGAAGTCGGGTGTTCTTCGTTCTCTTCACTACATCCTCGATACTCTTAAAAGCTTTCCAAGCTGGGAGAATGGGGCATACGAAACCCATCCGTTCTTCATGAACATCGTTTTTGTGAGATTTAGTCGGAGACCAGTCTTTCCACAAGCTTTATCAAAGATGACAAGCATTAGTTCCGCTTGGCTAATGTTTGGTTTTTTAAGAGTGATGTCATCAGCATAGCGAAGATAGTGTAATTTCCGACCGTTGTCCCATTCTAATATTGGCATGACGTTCTCGAGTGTGGTGGCGAATAATTCCGGCGAGATGGTGTCGCCCCGCTCCCCGCTCTTTTGACATCAATGATAATATCGTTGTAGGATTATGGTATCTTGGTTGTGAAATTTTTGTACAGCTCACGAAGAATCTTTATTAACTGAGTAGGGACTACTTGACTATCAAGGGCTTCCATGAATGATATCTCAGTTGCTGACCCAAAGACCTTCCTTAAATCGATGAAACTGAGACAGAGCGCTCGTTTGTACTCTCGCGATACCAAGGGGTTTGTCTTTTTCGAAGCTCTGCTAGCTCACATGGCTATTCTTTGTCCAGTGTTCTGTCAATCCTGCTTAAGATGACTTAGTTGAAATGCATGCAGACGACAAACAGCAAGCAGACTGGGCGATAGTTGTCGATATCGTGTAGGGCGCATTTCTCGAACAATAACGCGGTCTTGCTGGTCTTCCACTGAGCAGGGACTTTGCATTCAGGCAGGTGACGTGTTGGGAGCCGAGCCACTGTGTTTACGTGAACAGGCAGAAGATTCTTCAGGTGTTCTGATCTTATCCCTGTTCGGACCTGGTGTTGTTCGATTTTTCACCAACGAAGTGGCATATCGGATTTCGGAAGGGAGAACCGGTGGTGCTACATACCTATCCTCCTTTATTTCATAGGAAGGAAGGAGGACTGGCTATTAAAGAAACCTGAGTAGTATTCGTCTATGATTTTCTGCATTGCCCTTCTCGACTCCGTTACTGTTCCGTTTGGGTGTCAGAAAGGGTGTGGGTGTGGTGTATTCATTTGGGTGTGTTTGTTTGGTGTAGTGAAAACTGAAAAAAAATGTAAATGGTAAAACTAATCTCATATGGATTCCCCGCTTTCAAATCAATAAAAAGGCAAGCGATAACCGTTTGAGCTTCCTCAAAAATTAACAGCAACTTCTTGTTTATTCTTGAGAAATGGACCTATAACTGCCGATGCCGAGTTTACACGAGATTGACATGAGATGTTTATTCGGCGAGCATTTCGACGTCCTTGCCTTAAACGTTCACTTTTTATTTTCTGCCTGCTACATTTTTTTACGGTAGGGTATTATGCGAAATACAGCCACAACGGTGCTGAGATATTTGCAAAACTCCGGTCCGCAGGTGTATGCGGTGGGGTACGACAGCGCTATTACCCTTTCCCAGGGCTAACCCGTTCACCACCACATCATGCGGGTCCTTCGTTTCGCCTGTCTCTCAGCTAGTTCTCTCGATCAGTGCCATCAGTAATCACCAGTCAACGGTTCCGCGTTCGTTTCCCACCGCAGACACCTCCGCTCCGGAATTTTAGAAATATCTGAGCAACATTGTGGTTGTATTTGGCATAGCACCCTTCCGTAAAAATTGTAGTACGCAGAAAATAAAAAATAGACAACGATGCTTAAGAAAAGCAGGTCTAGAGGAGTCGGTAGCGATAGTTGAAATACCACCGGCTACTCTACGTCGTCAATTAGTTCGTAACCGCCTGTATAACCGTCTATGTCAAACAACAAATTTCGTAATTTGTCCTTACGGCAGGTACGGTGATTGCATGAGTTCAGGTGCGATATACCTGATCTCTTGTAATAATTGCGGAGATGAATATATTGGCGAAGGTGGAGACTTTTATGTACCCCTATAAAAGAACACCAGGGTGGCAAACAAAAAGCAAGACAAAGTATCCCACTATGCACGCATAGGATACAAAACATAGTGCAGACGATTTTGAAGTTAAAGTCGATATCCTCGCGCAGAAGACTAAAACACAAACACGCAAATTTCTTGAGGCTTTTTCATTAATGCCAAAACCCTCACAATGAACCACAGGGAGGAATGCCGAGAGGTCAGACGTGACCTGGTCCCTATCTTCGCATCAATTTCTGATGTGAGGTGAAGCAGTCATCAACCATATGCGACTATAATCAGCTGTTCTAGTCTACCTCATTCGAAGTAACGAAGAAAATGGCGAGTGTTTCGAGAAGCTGTTGATCATGTAATTGCCAAAATTGTACATCGGTATGCTTTTCCAGGCTCTGAAGAAGGCGATACTGCCGAAACGTCAGTTGCTGTTGCATTGTATTGTTTTTCTATGGAACTAAATGTATGCTATATAACACATTCGCGAATGGTGGACAAGAAAACGACGAATTCTGTGCGGTTGGTCTACACGTGACCTATTTGTTGGAAAAGTCATAGAACGGTGACTGAGCAACGAAGCTATTCGGTGCTCGGTGATTGAAATCTCGGTTTAGCATTTTCTATTTTGGTTATGGAGGTGTTTGGCTGGGTAGATTGCGAACAACCTGATCTTTCCAGGCTCTAAGAAAGGCGAGATCGGCCGAAACGTCAGCTTGTGCGTAAATAAATAAAGATATAAAATAACACTAACACCTCGTGTTCGGTAAACAAGAATATAAAGGATGCTAGAAGTATTCCGTATTACACAAGTGATGGAAGGGAACCGAAGCTCCGACCAACGTCAACGATCGAAAATCACAGACGATGTTTGATACGCCAAAATGTCGGAGCTAAAGTGGGCCGGACATGTAATGCGTATGAAGGACAATCGATGTAAATGAGCTGTTTCTAAGTGACTGGATTCCTCTGGATGTCTGACCTACTAAAAGAAGACCACCGACGCCATGGTCAGAATTCTTCACGAAGACTCTAGAAAAAAGGTATGATGATCAACGAGTCCCTACCTAGCGCGAACAGAACCCTTCGGACTGCTCTTGCATCTGACGGGGAAAAATTAAAGATTTACTAGCGTCCGCTCGACTTACTCGACGATCAACGGAACGACGGGTGACAAATTATGTATGGAGCGCAAACGGTTCGAATCACTACTGAAGCATGAAGTCAAGCAAGTGTTGACCCACTCACAATACTGCGTTGGCTTGGAAATTTCGCCATAGAAAATTCGAACTTTACTGTGAGGTAGGTCGCAAACATCGTTCCGTTGTTGAAGAAGATGAAATAGAGACTTCGCTGAGAGCAAATGTATGCGAAACTCTTCGAGAACTTGCAGAAAACTTGATTTCTGCACGCCGGCTATTTCGGAGAGTCTAATAGAAATTCCTGTAACACCTGTGTTAGTTGGCCAGTGGATTAGGGAGTTGGTCGGATTGGTCTTTTGTCCGCCAACTGTACGTGGAATGCTCGACTTTGAATGAATTCGCCACGCGGGGCTTTTCTCCGTAACTGTCTTGAACAACCTCGAGTTTGGATATAACAGTTTATAGCAACAATAACGATACAATGATAATGTGTGATATTTGACGATATGTAAGCTCGGTGGATAAGAGCAGGATTGAAATGGGAACAAGTGATACACTCTTGAAGGAAGCAAGGCGGACACTGGAGTTGGAGCGCTGAGGAATTGAGGGACCGGAAGAAGACTGGACGAACGCTGCCAACACTTCAGGACGAGTGCCTATGGGCTGCCTGTATTACTTCTGTAGTGGGTGGAGCTTTGCCAGAGGGAACTAAAGACAGCGCCCAGAGAGAGGTTCTAAGTTTTTCTACTAGCACAATTTGATAGGGTTACACGTGGAAGGGCGCAGGTGTTTGTTCGGAGACTTTTTGGGACGACAGATGCTGAAAAGTACATTCAGCTGACTGCTGCTGATTTCCTTTCCAACCATCTGCGAGGCAATTGCATGAAATGGCTGTTAAGAGACGATTTACAGAACATGCAAGAATAGATTTATGACGATTACAAATAGACAGGTGTTGTAGAAGACACAAGGTGACATAGAAATAGGAACTATTTAAGAATAGTTACTATATCACCTGTAGTACCGTTGATCGCCGAGTTATTCAAGAAGACGCCAATAATTCTTTTATTTTTCCCTGTCACGATGAAGAGTAGCCTAGTGCGTTCTGCTCGCTCTAGGAGACACGTCGAGTATCATATCCTTCTTCTAGGCTCTTCGTGAAAAACTCTGTCCATCGCGTCACTGGTTTTCCTGCAGTACGTTTGAAATCCCGAGGAATCTAATCACTAAGGGTTCTTGTCCATGGGTTTTCATTCCTACGCATCACGCATCCGACCCAATTTATCTTCGACTGTTCGGCGTACAGAACGGCATCTTTGATTTTTGATCGTTGACACAGGTCGGAGCTTCAGATCCCTTTCCTTACTTGTGTGAAACGGTCATAGCATCGTCCCTTCGACTGCCCGTTCGACAACGCTGAGTGATCTTTTATCATGCTTACGCAGCGACAAGGTTTCTGACGCATACGTTAGTGCAGGAGTCGGGTGTTCTTTGTCCTCTTCACTATATCCTCGACGTTCATGAAAACTCCACAAGCCGCTCGTTTCCTTCTGCTCAACTCTGGAGCTAAGTCGTTCAACATATTGATTTCCCGACCTCGACAGACCTAATTGGACCACTCTGAGATATTCGTTCCGTTGAGCATGAATGGGGCATACGAAACCAATCCGCTCCTCATTAACACCGTTTTTGTGAGATTTAGTCGAAGACCAACCTTTCCACGGGCTTTATCAAAGTTGTCAAGCATAGGTTCCGCTTGGATAATGTTTGGTGTTATAAGGACGATATCATCATCAAAGCCAAGATGGTGTAACTGCCGACCATCGATTTTTACTCCTATATTATCCCATTCCAATGTTCGCATGACGTTCTAGAGTGTGGCGGTAAATAATTTTGACGAGATGGTATCGCTTTTCCTAACCCTTCTTTTGACGTTGATGTTGATATTGTTGTAGAATGGTGATACCTTGGTTGTAAAATTTTTTACCGCTCACGAAGGATCTTTATGTACTCAGTAGGGACTTCTTGACTATCAAGCGCTTCAAGGTCTTTTTTACTTTCGCGATACTTCAATGAGCCTTGTTACCGTGTGGATGTGGTCCATCGTACCAAATCCTCTTTGAAACCCTGCTTGCCCACATGGCTGTTCTTCGTCTAATGTTCTGTCAATCCCGTGTAGGATGACCCAAGTGAAAAGTTTGTAGACGACAGACAGTAAGCAGACTGGGCGGTAGTTGTCGATATCGTGTAGGTCACCATTCTTGTACAATAACACGGTCCTGCTAGTCTTCCACTGAGTAGGGATTCTGTATTCAGACAAGCAACGTGCGAAGAGGCCGGCCAGTTTGTTTACGAGGACTGGCGGAAGGTTCTTCAGGTGTTCTGAACTTATCCTGTCCGGACCTGGTGCTGCTCGATTTCCCACCGACGAAATGGCATGTCGGATTTGGGAAGGGAGAACGTGGTACAACATATCCATCCTATTAATAACTCGAAAGATCGACTTCCTATAAACCTCGGCATAAATAGTTTACATATTTATTTATGTGATCTTATAAACTGATCTTCTTAAGCTGACGCGAAATTGGTACAGATCTTCGTTGTCGTTGTTTTTGATGTTATTGATCGATCGCTGACGCTTCGGCGACTTCGCCTTCCTCAGAGCCGTGATGTTACGCACGTATTGTTTTGCATTGTATTGTTGTATTGTATTGTATTGCTGCCTGTAGCTCGTGCGATTCCACGCTGGAGTATCAGCTCGAGTGTTTCTGGAGACAAACGTCTCCTGGTGAATTTCAACTCTCAGCTTTCATAGCGCTAACGTGAAGATGTTGTATGAGCCGATCGTATTCTTCGTCGATTTTATCGACAACGGCATCTTCCCAACATCCGACTAATGAATTGAATAGGTCCAGTTTTTGGTGGTTCCGGGACTTCGGTTTTGGAATTTAACGGCTGTTCCTCCTTTCCGCGAGAAATAGAATCTTGCACGAAGGAGGCGATGGTCTGATCCGTGTGGAATTTTGGGACAACAGCGGCACAGGTTAAGCAGAACCTTCTATTTACTATGATCTGGTCTATTTTGTTGTGATACTCCCCACTGGGAGATTCCCACGTTCAGCGTTGAATGTAGTGCTTCTGGAATTGCGAGTTACCGTGGATGGTGATGGTCGTCATGATAAACTCAGCCGCTCACCCTGTTCGCTCCATTGTAATCCGTAGGTCCCAATGTGACGTTCTTCAGACGTTCTTCTTGGCCTAATCTTGACGTTGAGATCTCCAATGATGTTGAACTTTGAAGAATGTGTGGTCTTCTCTGTAGAACTTTTCCAAGTCCATATAGGACGCTTCAACTTCTTCTTTGTCATAGTTTGATGTCGGCGAGTAAACGACGAAAATTGTCAAAGCCGGAATTTATCCACATCTTTTCAATCGTAAACGTCCCATTCGGGTTGTATGTTGTTCGAATTAATCGATGTTCATGGACAAACTCGTGTTGACGAGAACGCCAACGCCGCCGGCTCCTCCTACTGTCTCGTTTTCGGAGGAACAGTTCTTCTCCGGTGTCATAGGCGACGTTGTATAGGCGGCGTCGTCTCGTCTAGGCCATGCCGTTGACATCGTACCTTATCCTTCTTGCTTGCATGAGCAAGTCTTCTGTAGAGGACTCGGATGCAAATGTACGTGCATTGTAGGTACAGATCGTCACCTTAGTTCTTTGCAATCCACGCAGCATCCATTGGCACTGAGATTCTAGCAGTCTCTCCGTACTCGTCCTACCCAACACTGCCGAATTGGAGGCTCTTTCGGGGTCAGGAGAATGAGGCCTGTTTCTTTTACCGTGTCTAGCATGTTGATACCCACGTATAACTTGCTGGGCTCTGAACGCGGGAGTGGCTATACTCACGGGTAGCTTACCAGGCTCATGAAGCTTACTTGCTGGAGGCGACTCCTCCCATATACTTTCCTGTCACTTGATTGCAGGCATTCGGCCGAATTGACCCGTAGAATACAATCCGCATAAGCGATAAAGCACCCACACACACATGCATGAATACGCCTAGCAAATACAGAAAGTATGTGCCAAATTGGCGCAGCAGAAACAGGGAGTCCATCCTCTAGATCCACCTGTGTCTGCGATAATAGGTAGCCACATGCCGCGCTACCAACTCTGGAAAAGTTGTACGAGGTGTGCCTCAAAACGCTTCCTTATCCACACTACTTGTGAGCCTCTCGCCTACCAAATACGACTTCTTTGAGCACGTCCACAACCTCTTATGCTTCAGAAACCAAGCCGAAGCCGAAGCTGCCTTCACCGACTTCACCGACTTCACCGTTTCCAAATATACAAAAAAAAAAATACATTTATGCCATATCTAATTGAATTTGTTTCTCGTTGGGAAAAATATACCTCTCTTAGTGGTTCTTCTTCTGATTAATACAGTTTATTCTAAGCTGAAGGAACCCCTTCAAAAATATAAAGTTTTGCCGCTACGCTAGATCTCGGTTAGTTGAACCCTCACATAGTATATAAGATGAGCATGAGCCATAAGCCGGAAGCAAAATCAGTAGAACGAGAGAATGCACAGGGTAACGTTTAGCTTCTGTTATAGACTGACACTGAATCCTAAGAGATATTGTAAGCAAATGTTGCTCATATGAGAAAACGAAGCAACAAGTGTTAATAAGAAAGGAATTCACAATGAGGTAGCCTCCCCAGTATACTATCCTAGCACGCGCCTATTTGTTAGCTTAGAAATCCTACGCTGACCGAGATCACAGATGCCATGCAAGGTGTACCAACTCGCAAACTTCAGCCGCTAAGAAGGCGGGTTCATGTATTATTTACCTCGGCCAAAGTGGTCCCTACCTACAAGCCAAGTATATCGTCCTCAATACCGACAATGTTCTTCTTCCTCTGTTCGAGGAGCAATGTATTGCGGCGGAACCCATGCGGTACACCATCCTAGTACCGTATTATGTGGCATTAAACACGAACTAATTCTTCAGAAAACCTATTTTTTGCATATTTCTAAATGTTGACTGGAACATTTGACGGTCGACGTCCACCACAACATTTGTAGGGAGAACAGCTATGGAACGAATGCGGAGTGTATGGAAAAAATCTCTGCTCGACAAAGTAAAAAACCAAGAAATTAAACTACATATGACTGATGACTAACAATTCACCAAAAAAATTATGGGTCATATATGACTCATTTCGTAGTCACCGCTACAAATGAAACTACTTACAGTAAAGCGCCCATCATTCTTCTTTCTATTACCGCATAACTTCATCTTCAGCGTTAATTCATTACTGAGAAACGACTATGAGCATTAGAAAACCATTGCAGAGAATTTGGCCAAAGTTATTTTAGAGCAGTAAAAAATACCATTGGACTTACAAATTTCATAAGAATGAAAAAGTTTATTCATATCATACATGAGGAAAAGAGTTAGGGGGAAATAAAACAAGAATGAACATATTCATAAATCGGTATGATGGTAAGTGAGGATTTCAATGTATAAGCGACATTTACTGGCTTCTTATATGAGACGATGTTTCAACGTATAAACATTAAAGTAATGAAACTTCAGGACATATACATAAAAACTGGAAACTACAACAGTACTTCGACAAAAGGCTTAATTACTGCATTTCGTAACTCGTAAAAGCACAGCTGGAAGATTTTAAAAAAGGTTGAATAAACCACTTGACGAAGCAACGATTTCTATAAGCGATATTTGAAGTGCTTGAATCAGAAAACCTTGAGTAAGATTGAAGACGCCTATGCTCCACGTTGATACTGGTGATAGCGGTGCTCGCCCTCACGGCACAGTAGCACCCACCAAGCGTGTATTACACCCGGTATCCATATCAAGAAGGTCAGAAGAAGATTGATCCAGAACTGTGGAGTACAGCCTTGATCGAAAAGCACAGCCAACGGCTGAAAATAATATCGATTCTCATTAGTATTCCACGTCAGTAGTTTAACGAGTTGCGCAGCTTACGACTGTGGTTGACAATATAGACTACAATGAGCACCAAGTCCAGAGGTGGGTCTTCACAGTTAAACAAAACCACATGATACAAATTTTACGCGTTTTTCCTAAATTTAGGAGCATTTTCGATAAATCTACCCAGACTGGGAACTCCGTTGGTTCCAAAAACGGCGTCCTACACCAACTAACTAGTGTTCAGGTGTGAAACGTTAACAACTTTCCACCTTGACTTCTTGGCAAAAGAATACTTTCGGTTCTCTTTAGTCATAAAATCAATCATAGGCAAAACATTACTAGGAAGTATTCACATAATCCTGGTTGTTGGAATGTAAATCTTTCTACTCAAGCATGCTGTTATAGCAAAATGCGAAGCAGTGGCCTAGCAGCGGTTTCAACTGCAACAACAAGGATTCGTATACGTTGAAATATAAAGATATTCTTCGAATGATTTTTCCATCGCAGTTGACACTAAGTAAGACTAAAAAGTGATGCTGAGAAAGGAGGAAAGACAGAGTTGTTGTTTATTATCCTCAAATGTTTTACGCAGAACTAAACGCTAGGTGCGATGTAAAAAACTCCAAACAGTTACTGATTACGTTGAATGATGTTCACGATATTCGAAAAAAAAAACTAATGCAGATGGTTCTTTCCTAAAAGAAAAAGACAAAATGAAAAAGGTGCGTGTGTAGCGCAATGGTTAGAGGTGCCCTGTAGTATGCCCTGTATCAATTCCGTGCTCCAGGTTCACCAAACCCATCTCTCCGGGATCGTAAATTAGTACCAGACCTGTCTCGGAAGATAGCAACACTGACTCGATTCATCGATAGGGCACCGCTAGCTAATGTAAACGCCAAATATGCA